TTTAATAATTTTTTTTTTTGTTTTGAGACGGAGTTTCACTCATGTTACCCAGGCTGGAGTGCAATGGCCCGATCTCGGCTCACCGCAACCTCCGCCTCTTGGGTTCAGGCAATTCTCCTGCCTCAGCCCCCTGAGTAGCTGGGATTACAGGCACGCACCACCATGCCCAGAAAATGTTTTGTAGTTTTAGTAGAGACGGGGTTTCACCATGTTGACCAGGATGGTCTCGATCTCTTGACCTCGTGATCCACCCGCCTCGGCCTCCCAAAGTGCTGGGATTACAGGCTTGAGCCACCGCGCCCGGCCAACTTTTTAATAATTTTTTAACTTTTTGACTCTTTTATAGAAATACTTACCTTAAAACACACATTGTACAACTGTACAAAAATATTTATTTATATCCTTATTCAATAAGCTCTTTTCTGTTTTTAAATTTTAATTTTTTTTTTTTTTTAAACTTCTTTGTTGCCGGGCACAGTGGCTCACGCCTGTAATCCCAGCACTTTGGGAGGCTGAGGTGGATCGATCACGAGGTCAAGAGATCGAGACCATCCTGGTCAACATGGTGAAACCCAGTCTCTACTAAAAATACAAAAAATCAGCTGGGCCTGGTGGCACGTACCTGTAATCCCAGCTACTCAGGAGGCTGAGGCAGGAGAATTGCCTGAACCCAGGAGGCAGAAGTTGTGGTGAGCCGAGATCGCGCCATTGCACTCCAGCCTGGGTAACAAGAGCGAAACTCCATCTCAAAATAAATAAATAAATAAATAAACTTCTTTGTTTAAGATACAAACACATTAACCTAAACCTACTCAGGGTTAGGAGGAGCCTCAGTATCACTGCCTTCCACCTCTACATCCTGTCCGTCTGGAAGGTCTTCAGGAGCAGTAACGTTCATGGAGCTGTCATCTCCTTGGATAACAATCCCATCTGCTGGAATACCTCCTGAAGGACCTGCCTGTGGCTGTTTTACCGTTAAATTTATTTTATATAAGTAAAAGGCATATTTTATTTTAAAAATAATGATGAAAAGTATAGTAAATACATAAACTAGAAACATTGTTGTTTATTATTATCATCAAGTGTTATGTACTATACCTAACTGGATGTGCTGTGCTTTTATACAACTCACAGCACAATACGTTTGTTTACACCAGCATCACCACGAACATGTGAGTAATGCGTTGCATCACGATGTTACCATGACCACAACACCACTAGGCAATAGGAATTTTTCAGCTCCAGTATAATCTTATGGCACCACTGTCTATATATCATTGACCTAAACATCATTGACCTAAACATCACCATGTGGTGAACAATTATATTTTTCTTTTAATGGCATGGTAGATTAATAGGGAAAGGAATGACAATTCAAAAAATAGAGTTTAAAAATTCCACATAGATTGAAGGATCAAAATAATACTTTAAAAAACATCAAAAATATGTAGATAAAATGTCTGTCTCTGATATTCAAATAGGAAGAATTTCTTACACAAGACCCAAAAAAGTCCTAGCCATAAGATAAAGTATTGAAAAATGTAACTGCATTAAAATTAAGATCTGTTCTTCAAAAGACACCTTAAGGAAAGTGAAAGGAAAAGCTGAAAAGTTAGAGCATATATTTGTAACATTTATGACTGATAAGGGATTTTTTTTTTTTTTTTTGAGACAGAGTCTCGCTCTGTTGTCCAGGCTGGAGTACAGTGGCACATTCTCAGCTCACTGCAATCTCTGACTCCCTGGTTCAAGTGATTGTCCTGCCTCAGCTTCCTGAGGAGCTGGGATTACAGGCATGCACTACCACGTCCAGCTAATTTTTGTATTTTTTAGTAGAGATGGGGTTTCACCATGTTGGCCAGGATGGTCTTGATCTCTTGATCTCGTAATCCGCCCACCTTGGCCTCCCAAAGTTCTGGGATTAACAGGCGTGAGCCACTGCGCCCAGCCATACTGAAGTCCTTTTAAAAAAATAAAGAAGTCCCTCTCAAAAATAAATAGTAGAAAACAATGTATAGAACCTAGCAGAAAACAACCTAATAGTAAAACATAAAGATATATATTTTTTTAATTCCTATATATTTCCAAGAAGTGCTGAAGGAACAGAGATATTTTTTTAAACAGGATTCAAATATATATGGCCACTAAACATATGAAGAAATTTCAACCTAATTAGTAATCAGGAAAATGCAAATTAAATACACAAATAGATACTATTACATGTCCATTCAACTTGGAAAAACTAAAACATGACAGAGTTTATTCATCAATGGGAATTTTTATATGCTGTTGGCATGTAAATTGGAACAGCCTCTTTGGAAAACAAGTTTGCATTATCTTCTAAGTATGAATATTCATATGTCTTACAACCCAGCTGTCTTAGTCTGCTCAGACTGACACACTGAAATGAGACACAAAATATCACTGACTGGGATGTTTAAACAACAGAAATTTATTTTCCCACAGTTTTGGTAATTGGAAGTCTAACAGCAGGTGACAGCATGGTCAGGTTCAATGAGGACTCAGTTCCTGCCTTGCACATGGTCACCTTCTCATCATATCCTCACATGAGACTCAGAGAAAGACTCTTCCTACAAGGCAACAGGCTTATTGGATTAGGTCCCCACTCTTAACAACCTCATTTAACCTTAATCTACTCCTAAAGATCCTATCTCAGATACAGTCATACTGGGGGTTAGAACTCAACACAGAATTATGGGGGGACAAAATTCAACCCATACCACTAACTCCCAGGTGCCCAAGAACACATACATAAAAGGATGTTTAAAGCACCAATTTTCATAATATCAACAAATTTGAAAAAGCCATATGTCCACCAACAATAAAATGGAAAATAAATTTTGGTATATTTATATAAAATACTATTATACATCTGTGAAAATGAAGAATGAGCTGCCGCTCTATGCAACAACATGAAGATACATCAGTAAACTAAGGTCGAGAAGAAAAAAGAAAGTCCAAAAGACTACTACTTTCAGTATGATACACTTTTTATTGAGCTCAAAAACTAGCAAAATTCAGCAATGTATTGTTTAGTCATGCATATATATTTGAAATAAAACTATCATTTTTATGCAAATGAGAGACACAAAATTCAGGTAAGTAGTTATTTCTAAGGGGGGGGCAGAAAGGCAGTGAAATATTGGTGGATATAACATATTGTCTCAAAAGCCAATTGTTAAATTTTTAAGACTTTTGAGAGCCCATTGTTAAACCATTGGTAGCTTGAAATCAGCCATGGTGGGAGTATTTACACCATGGAAATTGGCAAATACCGAAACCAAGAGGCTGGTTGTTAAACATTTACTAGCATACCACTGAATGTAAGCTGTTGCTAGTGTTCTATTTTTTTTTTATTATTGCATTTTAGGTTTTGGGGTACATTTGAAGAACATGCAAGACAGTTGCATAGGTACACACATGCAGTGTGATTTGCTGCCTTCCTCCCCTTAACCTATATCTGGCATTTCTCCCCATGCTATCTCTCCCCAACTCCCCACCCACCACTGTCCCTCCCCTGTTTCCCCCCAACAGACCCCAGTGTGTAGTGCTCCCTTCCCTGTGTCCGTGTGTTCTAATTGTTCAACACCCGCCTATGAGTGAGAACATGCCGTGTTTTTCTGCTCTTGTGTCAGTTTGCTGAGAATGATGGTTTCCAGGTTCATCCACGTCCCTACAAAGGACACGAACTCATCATTTTTGAAGGCACTTTGATTTCCATGATCTCATTTAAGTCTAAAACACGAATTTCCACCTCTGCGTTGCTTTCTGGTTCCACCTGGTGGCAGCTGCACAAAGTGTTTCTCTTCAAACGCCGTCCCAAGTTTACCCGGAACTACTTAGCCTAGGTTTCTCTGAGTGCTCCTCGGGCCAAAAGCAAAGAGCACAAATTTCGGAAGAAATTACCAACAGCGGGACCATTTTAGTGCTCCGGCAGTAACAACAGTAACCAATAAGCAAAAAGCTCTAGTTCACGTGATGTACATTCAGCCTATCAAGCTCCTGATATTCCTGAATGCGCTCATTTCCGCTCTTGTCGCTTTCTTTCTCGACAAGATGGCCACGCCGGCGGTATCGGCAAGTGCTCCTCCTGCCGCGCCAGCTCCGGCCCCGGCGGCGGCCCCAGTCTCGGCCCCAACCTCAGTCCCAGCCCCAGTGCCAACGCCAGCACCAGCTGCGGCTCCGTCTTCCGCTGGGACTCCAGCCTCATCCTCAGACCCTGCGGCAGGAGCGGTTACTACTGCGGCTCCTGGCCAGACCTCGGCCTCAGCGCAAGCTCCGGCGCAGACCCCAGCGCTCGCTCTGCCTGGTCCCGCTCTCCCAGGGCCCTTCCCCGGCGGCCGCGTGGTCAGGCTGCACCCAGTCATTTTGGCCTCCATTGTGGACAGCTACGAGCAACGCAACGAGGGTGCTGCCCGAGTTATCGGTACCCTGCTGGGTGAGTGGTCATAGAAAGTTAACATTCTTTGCTTCCTCCCACTTCATTTATCTCACTTCCCTGTCTCATTAATTCTTTCATTCTTGGCGTTCTTTCCTCCCATCCCCAATGACCTCTTAATCTATTTTTCCGTCCCACTTTCTGCTGTGACTTCTCAAGTGATTTGCACCTCTCTTCTCTCTCCTGCCAGATTGCTGTCACTTTGAGCGACATAAAATACACAAGGAGTAGTTGTGTCACTTACTGAATATTTTATGCCAGTGGTTTACGTTTTTTAATGTTCCCCACAGCAGTATATGGCAAATATGATGAGTTCTATCTGCCAAAAATGAGTGCACATGCCGAGTGGGAAGTCAGGAACCCTTGACTCCCTAAGTACAGTTACCACGTGTTTCTGCCTTATCCACCGACTAAATGTCATTGTTTTCCAGGTATCAACAAAGAGTTTTGTAACCAGATGGCAAAGGACTGCGGTCATTTGTAAAAAGGCATTCCTCCCAACAAGTAAACCGGTTTGGCTGGAACCCATTTGGGATTTTATAGTATTCTACTGTCCTAAACTTTTGAGCCTTATTCTCTGACTCTCAGTGTTCCTTAATATTAGTACCTAATGTGAGAAACCCTGTTCTCCCATTTTCCGTTTGGACACAAACAATTGTTTTATCTGTTTATATCTCTGCCCTTAACCTTCAGGTCGAAGAATAACCCATTCTCTGCTTGTGTTCCAAATTTGGGGAATAGATACTCTATGTTAAAGTAGTTTAAATGGAAAAGCACGAAAGAGGGATTATTGATAATTCCTCTCTGGAGACTACACTGGTCCCATGAAATTCATCTCCATTCCATCTTAGTCCCAGATTTTTTATTTATTTATTTTTATTTTTTTAGTAGAGACAGGGTTTCTCCATGCTAGCCAGGCTGGTCTCGAACTCCCAACCTCAGGTGATCTGCCTACCTCGGCCTCGCAGAGTGCTGGGATTATAGGTGTGAGCCACTGCACCTGGCCAGCTCCAGATTTTAAATAGCTTTGTGAATCCACTTTACTTACAAGCATCCTTTCTCTTTCATACTCTTGAACATGTACACCATAAAAGACAATTGGTCTATTGCAAAGCAGACAAGATTTGTAAGCAGACTCCACACAACTTTAGCCATGTGCCTTGGGACAAATTACCTAAAATCTGTTCTGTCAGGAGCTACTTTAGACTTAGTCTTTGTGAGAACTGAATTAAAAACTTCTGACTATGCTAGTACATATTAGGTACGGCTATTAGTTGCCATTCACCACATCAGGCCCGGACCGACCCAATACATACCAAAACACATTTTCTCTCCTTAATCTATCTTTGACAGTATAGCATTTTACAGAAACTTAAATTCATATCTTTTGAACATTGCCTGTCTTTTCTCAAACCAAGCCTTTGTGTTCTCTTTGCACAGGTGCCTTCCTTGCTGTCCCTCATTTGTTTAACTTCTGCCTATCTCCTAGGTTCCCAGGAACAGCATTAAGTGCCAGTCCTCCATCCCATACCTGGACCCTCACTCCATTCTTAACCTTTCACAGCATGATGGTGTTCTGTAACTGCACCCTGCTTTGAGCTTCTATAATAAATTATTTTTGCCTCACTGACCTGGCACTCAGCAAATACTCTTTTGGCTGCACTGTCTAATTTTCCAAGCTCACTAGAGCTATTTAAAGAGAAAATTCGCTACCCACAGTTTATGCTTTAGCACCCCAAATGTTCCAGTGATCCAATCAGACCAGCCATAATCTAGTCTAGAGCCTGAGATCTTTCAGACTGCAATCATGGTACAGTGCTATAGGTGTTAATAGAGGCAGTGCTTCCAGAAGAATAAAGAATAGATTCTGCTTGCTATGAACCTATAGTTTCCTTAGATATTAATTCACAAAACATTTCATTTGTCTAAATGAAGTCATTGGTGCTTTTTTGTACCATAAAACTGTTAGGTATTTAGAATTCAAAGTGTAATAAGGTGAGCTGTCCTGTAACCTTAAACTCAAGATAGAAATATACTCTTAAATGCAAATAACTAGAATGTAATATAATAAATGTTCTAATAGAAGGGTGTTATGGTAGCATGGAACTACGGAAGATTTAACTATTTCAGAAGGCTAGGGAAAAGTTCACAAAAAAGGTGGTGTTTGAGCTGGGCATTAAAGCAACTACAGGAAGTTAAAAAGGGCCTGGTAAGTCCACTATCTGAAACATTCAGTATTACAGGAATGTAGGTGACAGGAAGTAGAGCAGGAAATGAAGCTAGCAGAGGGCAGAGCCCTAAGAAGTATTGAATAATTACAAGTGTAAAGTGCTGTGAAGGAGAATTACCTGAGTCTCTGAGAAGACAAAATGGAAGTGTAACCTCATTTGAAGCTCTTTGGGGAGGATCCTGAGCATTTCAGCTAACACTGAATAGAAATTAGAAATCACTCTGACTTTGGGAGGCTGAAGCGGGCAGATTGCCTGAGCTCAGGAGTTCAAGACCAGCCTAGGCAACATGGTGAAACCCTGTCTCTACTAAAATATAAAAAAGGAAAAAGCCAGGCATGGCGGTGTGCACCTGTAGTCCCAGCTACTGGGGAGGCTGAAGCAGGAGAATTGCAAGAACCTGGAAGGGAGGTTGCAGTGAGCTGAGATTGCACCACTGCCCTCCAGCCTGGGCAACAGAGCGAGACTTCATCTCAAAAAAAAAAAAAAGTCACTCTGGCTGCTTTGTAGAGCATGGATAAGAGACAGGTGTGAGCTAGGCATGGGCACCAGATAGCAGCTATTCTAGTAATAGGGAAGCACTTGAGAAATAGGGATAGATAGGAAGTGGGTGAGTTGAGAGATAGGAAATACAGTTAATAGGACTTGGTGTGATCAAAAGTGAGCAATTAGTAGTTAGTATCAAGCATGACTTCTATATCTTTGGTTAAATGTGGAGGAAGAAAGGGAAGGTAGAAGTTGACTTCGGTCTGGGATATATTTGTTTTTAGATGCCCAACGAGCATTCTGGTGGAGTTGTCAAGTATAAAATTGAATATAAAGATCTGGAGTACAAAAGAGATGTAGGCAAGTATGTCAGTTTAGGAATTATGTCATTGGAATATAGGAGGTAATTGAACCAATAAAATTGGATGAGATCACTTAAAGCAGGGATTGGCAAACTTTCGATAAAGGGCCAGACAGTAAATATTTTAGGCTTTGTGTGCAGTCTCTACCACAACTACTTAATTCTGCCTTTGTAGCAAGAAAACAGCCTTTAAAAAAGATTGGCATTGTAAACTTTATTCACAAAAAACATTTCTAGATCAGGGCCTGGCCTTGAAGAGGAACATTGAGTAAAAATATAGAAGAAGAAAGACAAAACCCCAAAAACTTGAAAAGTCAGTGGAAGGAGTAGTCAACAAAGAAGATTAGAAAGGTGAGAAGGAAAGTTTTAAGATGGGGGTAGTAAGTGGTCAAGTCTGTTCAATGCTGATAAGAGGTCAAATAAGATAAAGGATATATGTGCATTTGGTTTAGGAACATAGATTCAGCAAAGGGAGCAGAAGCCATAGTGAATTGGAATTAGACAAACACTGGTAGATACAGACAACATTGTGGTTTTTGGTGGAGAGGGAAACCCTTGAATCCTGGGGTGGAAGATTCCAATAGATTAAAAGAGAATGGAAAAGCCAACTTAGTGGTCTTAGTGAGGTCAAGAAACAAATGTAGTAATAAAAGTAAAAACAAACCAAAAAACTATAGGCTGGGCGCAGTGGCTCACGCCTGTAATCCCAGCACTTTGGGAGGCTGAGGCAGGCAGATCACTTGAGGTCAGGAGTTCAAGACCAGCCTGGCCAACATTGGTGAAACACTATGTCTTCTAAAAGTACAAAAATTAGCCAGGCATGGTGGCATGTGCCTGTAGTCCCAGCTACTCGGGAAGCTAAGGCAGGAGAACTGCTTGAACCCAGGAGGCAGAGATTGCAGTGAGCCAGAATCATACTACTGCACTCCAACCTGGGTGACAGAGCAAGACTCCGTCTCAGGAAAAAAAAAAATGTAGTGGGAATAAAGGTATCAGAACTAGAAAAGTGTGTGGTAAAAGACTGATATACTCACATCTCAGGTTCGCAGATAGGTTTCTGGATGATGGTAAGGTTAAGGCAATGACCATGGGACCAGATGGCTAAAGGAAGGTACAGATGAAGCTCGCAGCATCTCAATGTCTGAAACTTGGCCACTGTATCAGCAGTCTGTGTAGCCATTAAAATCTTCCAGGTAGCTCTGCATATTAAATTACAGGGTGAAAGTCTAGAGGCCAAAAAACAAAGGTCATAGAGTGAAAGTCTGAAATAGGCTAGTAGTGGAAAATAACAGGCAAAAGGAGACCTTGTAAAGGAAGAATAAACCCTATTTGGTGATGTTTAGAGGGAGAAGTTGGCGAGCATGCCAGAGTTTTAGTTCCCTGGAGAACTCTAGTCCCATTGATGCACTGGACTAAACTTAGAGCTAATGAGTTCAGTTAGGTGTTTATCGACATTGAAGAAAGCATCAAACGCATTACAAAAGTAGCTGGAGGTTGTTGGGAGCCCTAGCATTATATAACACGTGGACAATTCTCTCTTTCACAGGAACGGTCGACAAACACTCAGTGGAGGTCACCAATTGCTTTTCAGTGCCACACAATGAGTCAGAAGATGAAGTGAGTGGGAATCCAAGCTGTCCCTCTGCTGTTTTTAGCTGTTCATTTGCTAGGTTCCCCTCATGGCCCCTCCTACACTATATATTGACTCATAACTAGAGCTCCTATAGCCAAGGAGCTTCCTATTTGTACGTTACTTCCTGGGCCTCTTCTGGTTATTGGGGGTGGCTTCTTGTCCCTTTTAACCAGTTTTTCTTTGGACTTCCAGCTTCTTAGCTTGCTTTTCTGCCTTATTAGGTGGCTGTTGACATGGAATTTGCTAAGAACATGTATGAACTGCATAAAAAAGTTTCTCCAAATGAACTCATCCTGGGCTGGTAAGTTGTGGAGGTGGGGACTAGGGCAAATGGAAGGTCTCTCCATGATTGCCAGTATCTTTTGCCACCAGACTGGATCTTATCCTCTTCCTTTTGGAGACAGAGTATTGCAAGTGTATTACTGGCTGAAAGCAGTGGCTCGGTGCCTGTTATCCCAACTGGGAGGCTGAGGCAGGAGGATCACTTGAGCCCAGCCTGAGCAAAGTAGTGAGACCCTGTCTCTACAAAAACATTTTTTAAAAGCTTAGCCAGGCATGGTGACACACACCTCTAGTCCTAGCTACTTAGGAGGCTGAGGCTAGAGGATCACTTGAGGCCAGGAATTTGAAGCTGCAGTGACCTATGATTATGCTGCAGCACTCCAGCCTGAGTGACAGATTGAGACCCTGCCTCAAAAAAAAAAAGAAAAAAAAAGTGTTAAAGTGTTACCTGTAGGAGCTGTGAATTGAGTGGGTTTTGCTGGCAGTTCGATCCTGTTGGGCCAGGATATTTATTTTGAATCACCTTGGAAGAGACTTGAAATTTTTCAAAAGCACTCAGCCTTTGATTTGATTTCACATAGTTTTCTATGTGTATATTGTTCTTGGCATTTGGTATCACTAGGTATCCCTTCCACAGCGATATCAGGTACCCTGAAGACACCCTTGCCACTGTTGTGTTTGATATTGATGTCACATATAGACATGAGTCGACAACTGTCTTCCATTTTGCAGGTACGCTACAGGCCATGACATCACAGAGCACTCTGTGCTGATCCATGAGTACTACAGCCGGGAGGCCCCCAACCCCATCCACCTCACTGTGGACACAAGTCTCCAGAACGGCCGCATGAGCATCAAAGCCTATGTCAGGTGACCACAGTCTTGGGCCACAAGGTCGTAAAACCATGCCTAGATGCCATCCCTCCCCCACCCCAAGCAAGGTTAATTCCTTCTGTGTGGAACTTGCTGTGTCCTTAAGAAGCCTATTCCTCTATTTCAACAGTTACTCAAAAAGTTTTACTCTGAAACAAAATCTGTTCCTATAATTTGTATCTGCTGATCCTACTTATACTCCAGTTTCTACTCATTGCTCTTAACCAGTCTCAAATGACAGCCCTTTTAAGTATTCGAGCAAGCAATCAAGTCATCTTCTATAGAACTCAACTATCCATAGTTCTTACAGCCAGTCATCATATGGTATTCTTGTCATAATCCTTCACCACATTCATTATTTTTCTAAGTTACCCATTAGTATATCATTATCTCTAGAACTCAGCACAGTACTCAGGGTAATACCAATTAAAGGATGACTGTCCTTATTTTGAACACATTTATTAACCCAGGATTGAGTGCAGTTTTAATGACAATAACATTACAGTTAACACATTGAGCTTGCAGGTGGTTAAAACACCAGTTATGGGGGATGCTGGGAAAGGCCCTGGTGGCATGCTGAAGGCATCTGTTACGCTGTTGGCATTGTGCTGGTTCTGTGTCTGACGCTGATGTAGCCAGTTTACTCTTAGGCGGTAAGACAAAGATGGTGGATGCCAAGTCTTTATGAGCCAGTTGGCATACCACTGAGCACTAGCCGTTGCCTGACTTCTTAGCCTTTCCTGGTATTTCAGACTCCTCAAGAGTGTGTGTGTGTGTGTGTGTGTTCCAACTATATCCCGGGAGCGGGGGACTACCAGGTTGCCTAAGGCCTAAGGAGGGGTAAACCAGCCTAGGTCGGAAATGGAGCAGGTCAAAACTCCTATGCTTATGAGTAGTGGGATCGCACCTGTGAATAGCCACTGCATTCCAGCCTGGGCAATGTAGCAAGACCCCATCTAAAAAAAAAAAAAAAAAGATCCAACTATATATATCTATATGTAGATAGATGCAGATATATATAGTTGACATACTAAAGTATAGATCTGGGTATGTGACTGACATAGTAAAGACAACACCTTTAGTGAGATTACTTACAGCACCCAATCTAATTTGGCGCACAGGAGTTGGTTTCCTTTTTCAATGCTGATGAAGGGCTTAGTCCCAGAAAAGACTTGTCTCTGTCTTCTTTCCGCGGTGAGCAGGTATCTAGACAGCCAGCTCCACGGAGTAATTCAGTTCTGTCCTCTGATCACTGATAATGCACAGTGTGTGAAGTAATCCTCTGAAAGGACCAGGCCAAGTCCAAAGGTTGAGTCCCCTCTTACAGGCCAAGGGTTTGGTATGTGGGACAAGCTAAAGGGAGAAAGTAACTTTTGCTCCTATGAGACCTCTGGGGTCAGTTGGTCCCACCCTTCCTGTCTCAGAACCTTGGGAGCCATATTCCTGCTGTGTCTGCTTTCTCAGCCCAGAATAGACATGGAAACCCTCTCCCAAGGCCATCTGTTTACCTCGGCTTCTCCTTCCTCAGCACTTTAATGGGTGTCCCCGGGAGGACCATGGGAGTGATGTTCACACCTCTGACAGTGAAATATGCATACTATGACACTGAACGAATTGGA